CTACGTGATTTTAAGTAACTTCTTGAGACATAACACTGAGGGAATCAGAGGAGGAAGAAAGACATAGAGCCACTCTACTTTTGTCTGTCAGGCTGCGGTATCCTGTATTTAAATAACAGCCACATTTTTCATCTTCTTGTAGGTAAAGAGACTTCAGAAAAACCTTCCTAAACAGCATGGAGCTACTTGGACTAGAAATGGTTGTTTGGGTTTTTTGCCCCCAGTCCAAACCTTGTGCCTATTTTCTGTACAATAGAAGTAGCCCAGGCCCAGTGCCAGGGATCAGCTTCTAACAGCCCCTCCATACGTTACCTGGACAGGCACACTGCAGTACAGCTACTGATTTACCCCCTGGGGCAGCACAGGCATCCAAAACGTCTTCCCCATCTTTCACTTCTAGCGCCAACACTGGCAACAACGAAGCAGCATTCAGCAGATAATACTCTTTCCGTTTACCATCCTGGTGTTTTTGTGCAGGGAATCTCCCAGGACTTCTCCTGATATAACACTGAAACGACGCCGGAAGATACGGCAAATTTCCTTGAAAGGCAGGATGATATCCCTTTGCACGCAAGGTCTTCTCCAGCTCTGCCGACGGGCTGAACTTGTTAAGCAGAACGGCATACTGCCAGCACAATGGGTACGTCAGCACATCTCTAGATTGAAAAGAGATTTAATATCTTGATAAAGAAAATTCTGAATTTTTCAGACCTTTCTTACAGGATTTCCCCCATTTTCTACTTGAATTCCCCTCAGTATTTCTTCATTTAGCCTCAGAAAATACTCCTCAGGAACATTCACTGCCTAAGAGAGAAAGACGCATTGATTCAACCTAAAAGAGCTCCAGAAGGGCTCGTCTGCCGGCTTTCCCAGCAGCGACAGCCACCCGTTCTTCTCTCAACCCCCCAGCCACTTCTTTGGCGGCTGTGGATCAAGGCCCAAATTAAGTGACAGCCTTTTCTGTACAGGTCCTAATATCCCATTTCTTCTAATGAAAGAAATCAGGGGATGTACTTCTCTCCTAACCTCTTTGTCCCAGTCTCTCAAGAGACCATACAGCTGTAGATGGGTGCCTCCTTGTAGTGCATACACGTATGGGAGAACAGAAACTTCATTGCACCAAAAGAATGATGTCAAGGAAAAAACAAAACAAGTTTCAAGTTGCACTCTTCTGTCATTTCACATTTTTGCTTGTTCTCACCTCAAAAGAAACTGAAGCAGCTCTCACAGTCCATGACTCTTTTCAAAGTTCTCTTAGGACGCACTTCAAAAATAACAGAACCTCTCCCCTCCCTGCCCCACCTCCCCAAAATAACAGACCTGACACTGGTCCATGTATCTCCCAGTTCCCTTGTGTACTGCTGCTCAAAATGATCCAGAACGACTTGACAAATCTGCTTTTGCAGTTTCTCTTTTGTTTTATTTTCCAGCTTCAGGGAAAGGAAGAAAAAAGAAAAGGATTAAAATCAAAGCAATGAAACCCTCCCTCCTTCTCACTGGAATCATTAAAAGAACATTTGATCAATTTCAATCCACTTAATATCAGGGATATTAGGATGCTCACATAGCAAGGTCACATCACACATCAGCAAGACGGACCAGAAATTTCAGAGAACAA